TTTAGGAAAAAAAGAATTAAAAAGTCTAACATACTTGTAAGAGGAGTTCCACATGGAAAGGATAGAGAGACCATAGATACTGGATTGTAGTTGTGTAAAATGTTAACATTGAGGGGAAGGCATAGACCTACCTTGACATTTCTTTATAGCCTACTGTGAATCCATAACTATTTCAAAATTGAAAGTTGAAAACATTTAACAGTAGTTACTAACAATATAAATAAGATATGTAACTTCCCTGGCCAGAAGAATAGGGGAAAGAAAAGAATAAAGAAAACTCAGTCATTTCAACAGGATTCAGGAAAAGAGAAATTAGAAAGCAAAATAAAAAAAGCAAGATAACAAAAAAAAAGAGCAAGATAACGGCAAAAACATGAATGATGTCGAAATAAATGAAAATATGTTTATAGTCACAATAAACAAAATGGACTCACCTCCCCATTTCACAGAAAGTGTCAGGGTTTTTTTAATCCAGTTATTTTCTGCGTATTAGAGACGACTAAAATATGAAATGTTAAAGTGATGTGGAAAATGGCAAGTATCAAAAGAAAGTAACTATATTAATATCAGCTAAAATAGATTTTAAAGAAAAAACATTGAGATTAATACCTAATGATAAAAGGAACAATTAGCTGGGATGATAAAACAGTCTTGAACGTGTATACACCTGGCACTATGGTCTTAAAAATATAAAGCAAAGCTCAATAGATTTAAAAGGAAAAATGGGTAAGTACACATTTGAGTATATTTTTAACATACCTCCCTAGGTAATTAATAAACAATCCAAAATTTAGTAAGAATAGGAAAGATTTGAGCAATGAATTAATGGAGATAGATGAATAGATAGAATATATAAAATATATTAACTCAACTATTAAGTACTTTTTTTTCAAACATACATGGAGCACTTCTTGACCCTACACCAGCCAGTCACAAATTTTAATTTACACTGTATAATAGGTGAAAGGCAAATGTTAATTTATACACAGCATGTTTTCTGCCCACAACTCAGTAAAATTAGAAATTAGTAATAAAGTGATCAACACCCCATTCATTTAGAAATATTGAAAAACACACCTTTGAATAATATAGGCTCAGATTAAAATAAGATGATCATAAAATGTTTAGAACTAAATGCCAGTGAGAACTGTGGATGCCAAAGCTATGCAGGTGGCAAATCAGAAGGTATACTTAGAAATGAGTAGCCCTGTTTGCATATATCACTGGATAGAAAGAAGCAGAAAAAGCTAATGAGTTAAGAGTTCAAATGAAGAAGACAAAAAAAGAAAAATCGAGTAAACAAAACAAAGATAATTAAATCAAGGAAGGAAAGAAAGATATTTATGTCAGCTTCATAAAAACAGTCATTTATCTCTGGGAGGGAGAAGAGACTGAAGTAGAGCTAGTTACCTTTGTAGCATTTTATTTCTTTGGACAAAAAAAGTAAATGCCTGTGTTTTTATTTTTATTTATTTATTTTTTAATGCCTGTGTTTTTTTAACAACTTTATTGAAATATAATTCACATATCATATAATTATTCATTTAAAGTGTACAGTTCCCTGAGTTGTATAAACATCACCATAATCAACTTTAGAACATTTTTATAACCTCAAAAAGAAAGCCCCAGCCTTTAGCTGTCATGCCCAAGTCCCTCTTCCTTCCCACCCCTAAACAACCACAATTCTGCTTTCTGTCTCTATAGATTTGCCTAATCTGGACCTTTCATGTAAATAGAATCTTAAAATATGTGGTCTTTTGTGATGTAATTCTTTCACCCAGCATAAATTTTTCAAGGTTCACTTAGGTTGTAACATATCTCATTGCTTCATTCATTTTTATGGATGAATAGTATCCCACTGTATGAATATACCACATTTTGCTTATCTGTTCATTAGTTGATGAACATTTTAGTTACTTCCACTTTTGACTAATCTGAGCGATACTGGTATGGAGATTTGTGTACACGTTTTTGTGTGGACCCATGTTTTCATTTCTCTTGGATTTATACCTAGGAATGGAATTTCTGAGTCAAATGTAAATTCTGTGCTTAACTTTTTGAAGAACTGCTGGACTGTTTTCCAAAGTGGTTGCACCATTTTATATTTCCATAAGAGTGTGTGAAAGTTCTGATTTATCTACCTCCTTACTAATGCTTGTTATCATCTGAATTTTTATTATAGGTATCTCATTTGATATGAAGTGGTTTATCACCATGGTTTTGATTTGTAATCCCTAATGACTAGTGATGTCAAACATGTTTGCAATGTGCTTATTAGCCATTTGTCTTTTTTAGACAAATGTCCATTCAGATCCTTTGCCCATTTTTAACTGGGTCATTTGTCATTATTACTGCATTATATATGAGTTCTTTATAGATTCTAGGTATAAGTCCCTTATCAGATGTATGATCAGATGTATGATTTCCAAATATTGTCTCCCGTTTTATAGATTATCTTTTCACTTTCTTGATCGTGTCCTTTGAAATACACAGTTCTTTAATATTGAGGAGTCCAATTATTTTTTCTTTGTTGTTTATGCTTTTGATGCCTTATCTAAGGGAATCCATGGCCAAATCTAAGGTCACAAAGATTTACCCTTGTGTTTTATTCTGAGAATTTTATAGTATTGGCTCTTACATTTAGGTCTTTGGTTGATTTTGAGCTGATTTTTTTGTATATGGTATGAGGTCGGCAGCCGAACCATTTTATATCTCCGCCAGCAGTGAACAAGAGTTTGTTTCTCCACATCCTTAAAGCTTACTGTTATTTTGTTTAATTGTTTTTGATTTGCCTTTTGCTAATGATTGGTGCTGTTGAGCATTTCTTCATGTGCCTATTGGCCGTTTATTTATCTTCTTTGGAGAAAAGTCTATTCAAGTTCTTTGACCATTTTTCAGCTGGATTGTTTATTTTTTTGGTGTTGTTCAGTTGTGGGAATTCTTTATATATTTCAAATACCAGTCTTTATCAGATATATGATTTGCAAATATTTCCTCCCATTGTGTGGGTTGCCTTTCACTGTGCTAATAGTATCCTTTGATGCACAAAATATTTCACTGTTGATAAAGTCCAACTTATCTATTTTTTCTTCTGTTGCCTGTGCTTTTCATGTCATATCCAAGAAATCATTGCCAAATCCTGCTAACCAATTTCTAAACACTGGGCCTGGTGGTGTTTAAACTACTCAGTGAATCATTTAAAGAATTTTGAAGTAAGTTATTTCTATTCACCAGTTTACTTTTATAATTACAGAAGATTTTCATAATTACTCATTGAATCCCAAACTTCTTCTGAATTTTTATTTTCCTGATTACTGCCAAATGTACTCAATTGTAAATCGAAAGCATGGAAATAGCACATTATATTATGATACAATTGTTCCCCATGAGGAATAGTGATCAAAATTGTTGCCAACTGCCTTTATTAGGAAAAGAAAATTCTTAACTGATTAAAGACTATGGATATTATATGTCAGCTATTAAATGGGTTTTCAGCTTTTCTGCTTCATTTTTAAAAAAATACTGAATTTCACTTCAGCATGCATAATAAAGTTCTAAAACTTCAAAGACATTTTGCATTCTGAAAAGGGTTCCTTGTGCTTGTAATGTTCATTTGAAATTCAAATAATGCTTTGGAATTTGAAGCTAGTTAAAAGTTCTGTACTAGAGAAGAAAAAGGGGGAAGAGTCCTATCATTACTAATTGTTACTACTAGCAGATATTACGTCTTTGTACCTAGATAGTAGCAGTAAATGCATCTTTTGAAGTTATCAAATGATACTTATGCTATCTATAGTAAACATCTTGGGCAATGTGTCAGAACTTATTTTTTAACCTCTGTAGTTCTTGTTTTAAACCGCTATATACTTTTTCAAGCAAGTGTTTTTTTAAGCCCCTCACTGTGTATAGTAGATGATGTAAAGACCCAGTGGAAGTCTAAGACACGATCCTCTTCCCTTGGAGAATTTGCCATCTCTTGACAGAGCCTGATGATACACGTGACAGTATAAAAGAAGAAATAGGGACGTGCACCATTTAGATTCTGAGACAGTAAAGATGGGCTGTGGTGTCTGAGAAGGTTGTAATGAGTGGAGCTCAGATGGCCGGGAGGGTGAAGTCTGTTTGGAATGGGCTGAGGGAAGGAGATGCTGTCTGGGTGAGAAGAATGACGTGAGCAAGGTATGACATCTGACTGGAGAAGTCGGGAACCAGGTACCCAAGACAGAGAGAGCAACCTGGAGCGTGCTGTGGACAGCGGGTGTTCAGGATGAGGATGGAATATGGGGAGCTGGGATAGTAGTTTTATACTTGATGTAGTTGACTGTAGAGAGGGACTGTGGGTTCTTGACCAGGGGAGCAGTGGAAAATTTAGTCTGTCACCGGTAGAGTTCATAACACTTTGGAGATAAAGGGATTTTGGAAACATCTTTTCTAACAACCCCTATCTACTGGATCCAGGGAGCTGCAGTAGCTTGCTCAAAGTTGCCCATTAGAAAATAGCAGATCAGAATCTCAGATTCATCCTTTATAACTCCAAAGCCAATGATCTTTCTTTCATACCACAGTTTTCCAGAATATCTTCCAGTGTACCAGAATATCTTAAGAGAAAGAAAAGAGGGAGAACAGCACTCACATACTTGAGACAGTGAACACCCCAATCAGAGGGGTTGCTGAGGAAAACTGAAACAGAATAAGTAGAAGCATCTTAGTGGGAAAAAGTGAGAACCTGATGACTATTTATTTTAATAAATGGAGCAAGTACCTAGAGAATTAAATATAGACCAAACTAGTTCTAAAAAATAATATTTGACTAAAGTGAGAAATTAATCCTAATAAAACTGTTATCCATATTCCAAATGACCCTGGCAAATGGGTGCTATGGAAATATTTGCAGAATGAATGAACAAAGGAATGAATGTATCAACTTAAATTTTTGTAGGTTTTTTTTTTCTGGTAAACATCTTACAAATGCTATTTAAAGAAAGCATTTTCTTTTATAGATTCACCTTTTTGGAGTTTTGCTGGCCATTTTAGGAAACCTGGTAATCAGCATTTCCCTAAATATTCAGGTAAGAAGAAGCTTATTTTTCTAACTCTGTAGTTTGATCCAGGGACACATTATGACTTTAATAAGCCTCAGACACTCTTGCCTTCTTCCTCCATTAAAGAAAGTGTATCTTATGTCCTTATTGATATAAAAACAAATGTACTGCTGACTGGATTGTATCCATGTTTTTTCTTTTGATTTTAAAAGAAGTTAAATATTTTTGTGAACCTCTTAATAGTATTGTATACCCCAGTTAAACTTCATGTGAATTTGTATCACACTGAGAAAAGATGTTCATAACACTGGCATAAACCAAGATTTATTTTAATGTTCCACATTTTCTTATGGTACTTTAATTATTTTCTGAATAGCTCCTGAAGCTTTTAAAAAATTTTTAAAGAAAAAATTTTAAAGTCATCTAGAATTGTGCATACTTCTTAAAGAAGTGAATTCAGTTATCATTAGAAAATCAAGAGGGAAATAGTGCTTTATTTAATGGCCAGTTTTTCAGGAATTCACATGTTTGCAATAGAAGGATATACATAAACCAGATATAAATGAGTTCCTCCATCCCAACCCTCCGCTACCAGAACTTTCTGCCCTGTTACATTTATTGTGGTAGCCAGTTTGACTCACCCTAAGATATGCTCTCTTTAAATCCCTTTTCCAAAGGTGTTTCTTTAATAATTTATCGTATTTATTTCAATGATGTTTATTTTGGGAACCTGATTTTTTTTTGACAATCTGATAAAAGAAGTGTTTTGGTGTGGTAGAATAAAAAGTCACTTAACTCCTTAACATACATCCCATCTTTAGATAGTAATAATGATATTTATTTCACAGAGTTATGAGAATTAATTAATATGAAGAAGGCCCTTTAAACTATAAAATACTGTGTCAGTATGAGTCACTTTTAGTATGTTTGGAACAAAACAGAAAACCATAATCATTGCTCTATTATAATCTGCAAATAAATTTAAGAGCCTTGAAGCAATTTTATAGGACCAAAATTTTCAAGGCAATTTTTAGTTGCGTGGAAATGTTTTCTTATTTACATTCTGTTTGACTTCTAGAAGTATTCACATCTTCGGTCAGCACAGCAAGAACACCCAAGGCCATACTTCAGGAGCGTGTTGTGGTGGGGTGGGGTCATACTGATGGCCCTGGGAGAGACAGGAAACTTCGCGGCCTATGGATTCGCCCCCATTACTCTCATCGCTCCATTAGGCTGTGTGTCTGTTACAGGTGGGCCATTTTTCTGTGTTTTGACAAATAGAAATTTTAAGAGATCAGAATAATCGGTGAAAAAACATACAACTGAACACAGGCCCAAAAGAAGAAGGTCTGTTTCCTGTTTTCTTAGCATGCTCACTTGGAACAGTTATACTCCTAATTTCAGTTATTCATTGTCATGGTGCCCCATTAACCATGAAGAAACTGGCATTTTGTAGCTGTAACATTTATGTTTAAAAGCCTGATTCCCGGTGTCTGAGTCAATAAATCAATAGCCACAGCAAATGTTATACATGCTTTTTAATCATTAATGAATTATCTTAAAACATTTGTAATAGAATAACATATTTTATTCATATGTTAAACTGACATGACATGCAGAGTCCTTGATGCCTGATCCATAGTTTAGCATCTCTTTTACATTAAGAATTAGATATATTACTATCTATAAGAATGTGTAATTTTACAGTAATGTCATAATTAACCTGCTTTCAAAATTTTTTATGATCTGCTAGATACATTTAGACAAAAGAATATGAGATGTTGCTAAAGACTAAAGAAAAAGCAAAAATTACTGCTAAAAAAGAGAGCAAATTCTCTAAGCTGTGTTAAAATCAATAAAATCTTTTGAGTTTCACCCTTTATCTGCTGCTATGGAAACAGCATGTTTCTAAGTTTCTGTGAACTTGGAATCTTCATTGAAATAGAAACAAGTTGATGGTTATTGTCTGGTAGCGACTAGATCAAGTGTATTATCCCAAGTGTGATATTTTCCAAAAAATTATATGATATTCTTTTTAAAAACATAATTTAAACTGAAATAATGTATACTCAAAGGGAATTTTGTTTCATTTTGAAAGAAGTTTCCCCTTCTTAATCATTTAAAATATCTTATTTCATAATGTACAATAATAGAATGGTTAGCAAAGAATGCTTTTTTTTTTTTCCAATAATGCTTTTTTGGCTGTCTAGAAATTGTTCAGTTAAAATCACCCTACTCTGAATAGGCACACAATTTATGTAATCATTTGACATTTTAAAAATTCAGATAAAATCAGCAATTTGAAGGTGTCTTATCTTCTATTTACTACTGCATATACTGTGTACAAGGGCATTCTTTATATTTATTTTTTTTTCTTCTCAAAATCTGAGAAATAATAGATAAAAAGATATAGTTATATTGTGCTTCCCTGCTGGCATTAATGCTAAAGAACCTGCCTGCCAATGCAGGAGACATAAGAGATGCAGGTTCGATCCCTGGGTTGAGAAGATCTTCTAGAGGAAGGCATGGCAATCCACTCCAGTATTCTTGTCTGGAGAATCCCATGGACATAGGAGCCTGGAGGACTGTGGTCTATAGGGTTGCAAAGAGTTGCACACGACTGAAGTGACACAGCATGCACGCATAGTTATATTGGCACCATGAGACTTCTACAGGCCCCAATTGTTCTGAAACTGTTGTACTATTTTTCATAACAACTGTCTGTTTAGAGCTCATCTCTAGTTTCGTTTCTGATTCTGCTTCATGCTCAGTTTCCATGCAATAGCCTAAAACAGAAGTGTCCAGACAGATCAAACAGAGGCCTGGAGGAGGGTTGAGTGCATCACATTGCACTGAAATTCTCCGTTTATCTCGAATCCCCCGGTCCTGGGAAGCTTTTATCTGGGAACAAGAAAAGAGCCATTCCAACTAGCACAAAGGAAGGGGGATGTGCTGGATTTCTTATAAAGACCCAGAGATCTCACAGAAATGAAGATAAGCCAGGCCTCTTGGGACCCGAAGTGAGAATTCGGAAATTATCAGAGATGAAGGGCCAGCCCTGATAAGCTCCTCACAGCCCTTCGTGAAGCCGCCTGTGAAGCTGCTCATCTTGGCATGACTTGCTCGAAGCTCTCATTAATAACGGGAGGTTTTCAGTCTAACCGCCTTCCCCTCCGAGAGCCTCCTCCCAGGTCTGCTGGAGGGGCGGGGCAGTCCACGCACCTGCAGACTTGGGGATGGGCTCTTCTCCATGCTATCCTCCCATTTTCTTTGTCTACCCCTGGCCTGGATTAATGCTTCAACTTCAGAACATTTTTAGCAACCTCCCTCTCTACCCATTTAAAATGATTCCAAGAAGTAAAACTATAGCCTCAAACACAAATTGTTTCCTGCTTTACAGTCTTTGCACACAGTAATATATGCTCATAAATAATATTCCCACAGCACTCCTGCATTGAATTCAGGTCACTGTGCAGTGTTGTGGGTGGGTAAGGAATGCTGGAGATGGAGGATTTTCCCCAGAACAACCCTCTACCACTTTTATGATTCTTTATAAAGGTTCTAGAAACTCTAGAAAATGTGAAGCAAAGAGGACAGTATTTTTTAATAAATATGTTATCCTATGGCTGTGTCTACAGCTGAGGCAGAGAAGTGTCTACACTTTACTAATTTCATTTTCCCTATTATTTCTTGGGAGCTTCAAGAAGGAAATCAAACCTTCCTATGATTTTTTTTTTAAAGGTAATATTTGTTGCAATGTTGCATGAGAGATTACATGTTCTTTTCTGGCTTTTCTGCTGTCTTTTGTGGCTTTCAAAGTTTGAAAAGAAAAAAAAATAAGAAAGAAAACTGAAGTCCAAAACAGTTTTTTTTTTTTTTTAAAGTTTTAGCTCTTAAGTCCAAGTGAAGGAACTTTCTTCCATCTTCTTCATTCTCCTTGGGTAGCCTGGTTCATACCAATACACTGTGTTCCTTTTTCTTCTCTCCAGAAGTAAGGCGATACTGTGTGGGTCATCATCTCACTACGCCCAGGCTGCTAATATGTCAGTCCCACTGCTTTGTCTTACATAATCAAAATTCCTCCTCCCTTTGTACACTTCAGTGCAACAGACTTTTTTTTTTTAGGAATAGCACGTAAGAAGTGCTACGGTAACCACCCTGGATATTTCAGTTTGTACTCCACCCACATTCTTGCCTTGAACCATCTTCCTTTCTAGTCTTTCTTTCCTTCTCTCTGTGTATCCTGCTGCTCAACACTGACATGCTTACCTGGAGGTGGCATTTCTCAGGCACCAGTTTTACTGATGGTTTCATAGGCGTTCTCAGAAACAAAGAATTCTGTAATCAAGCAGGTTTCTGCAATATTGGATTTAAAACAGTACACAGGTTTCCTGAGTAGAGGATTTCTTGAGGCTCTGGGATAGGCCCAGGCATGCTGTCAATTTTTCAGAAGCAAATGCAGTGAGCCAGCTTTCAAATCTATTGTCCACAAGATGCCTTTATAAGAAGCATCTCAAGGGACAACAGTTCTGCAGAAAACCCTCTAGAGAGCCCTTACGGCAACGCTCACAGACAGTCAGAGCGTTCTAGAGACTCAGACAGGATAGATACCTCGCCGGTACCTACAACAGGGTGGGGAGGTGGGTAATGGGAGTAATCCTGATACACAGGCAGATCTGAATGCCCAGGCCTGAGTCCTCTTTTGGAGAAAGAGGCTCAGAGCCCTCATATTCTTGTATCTCCTTATACTTTTACCTTCCCTTTCTCCCTGAAGGGCTGTCTCAGTGAATAATGAGTATAAAAGCTTATTTTGGCTAAATTGCTGATTATATGCTGGCAGACTTCCCTGGTTCCTCAGACAGACAAGAATCCACCCACAATGCAGGAGACCTGGGTTCAATCCCTGGGTCGGGAGAGAGAAATGGCTACCTCCATCCTTTCAAGAAGGAAATGGCAACCCACTCCATGGAGAATCCCATGGACAGAGGAGTCTGGTGGGCTACAATCCATGGGACCACAAAGAGTCAGACATGACTGAGTGACTGCCAGTTTCACTTTTTCTCATGGTTAATTCTAGGAGTTTGTTTTTCCATTAATTAAGAAATCTTAAGAGTTGGTGTTTCAGTTGCACCTGGAAAGCTCTGTGACCTCAGGCAAGTTGCTTAGATGGGTTTATGCCTCAGTTTAAAGGCATCTGTAAAATGGGAATAAAAGCAGTTCTTCCCTCAGAGGTTGTCATGGGGAAGAGCTGAGTAAACACAAACACTTAAGAACAGTGTTGGATACATAGTGCAGTGTTTGACACAGTGACAAATCTAGCCATTGTCACTGTGATTTATATTTTTAATTAACTAGAAACACAGTACATTATTCTTTATAAGGGAGTTTACTTCATGCTTCTGAAGATGGCTGGTTGTTAAATTCTCAAAAATGAATAAACCACTTCAGGAAATGCCTTTTATTGTCCTTACCATTGTTGTCGTTCATTGTTCAGTCACTAAAGTCGTGTCTGACTCTTTGCAACCCCATGGACTGAAGCACACCAGGCTTCCCTGTCCTTCACTATCTCCCAGAGTTTGCTCAAACTCAGGTTCATTGAGTCAGTGATGCCATCCAACCATCTCATCCTCTGTTGCCCCCTACACCTCCTCCCCTCAATCTTTCCCAACATCAGAGTCTTTTCCAATGAGTTGGTTGTTCGCATCAGGTGGCCGAAGCATTGGAGCTTCAGCTTCAGCATCAGCCCTCCAGTAATTAATTAATTCTCAGGGAGAAGAAGGGTGGGCTCCTCACTGCTCATTTGTTCAGCCATTAAGCAGCAATTATCCTATGACTCCTCCACATATTCCCCACCAAAATGTGTTGGAAAATACCAGCATTTCCAAATAACCTAGCAAAAACAAATACATATAAAAAACAGACTCAGAATTTTGTCCAAGGGAAAACAGTCTGAAATGTGCGTGCAACTTTCTGTCTTCTTGCTCTGGCTTCAGAGCACTTTTGTTCACTTGCTAATTAACTTCAGAGAGACATTCAGGTCTAACTGTAATTTGAGAAAGTGTTTTTCTGAGAAACTATTTATTACACCAGAAATCCAATAAGGAGAAATAAGTTGGATATTCTGTGCAGTTTGTAATAAAATTTTAAACTGCTGCTAATCTTTCCTGTCCCTCTTCCCCAGGAGGCCTCTTTTTTTTTTTTTTGCTTCTGTACTAAATTAAACCGGCTTCTTCTCTGCTCCCTTAGCACC